GGAAGTGTACAGTAATTGCTAGTATTGAAATAACTTGTAAAACCACTCACTGAAAAGATCTGTTACTGCAATTCAGTGATGCCTTTGCATTGGTCACGTAGCAGTGGGCTCGTTGGGAGGCAGTGCTGGGAGGTGGAGACCTTGCCATTGCCTGGCCCGTAACTAGCAGAGCTGGATATGAAACTGCCAGGCATGAAATTGAAGTAGGAGTTCTGGCAGTTGAGGAGGAGATGGGAGAAACAGCCCAGCTGCTGGTGCAGTGACATAATCAATCTTGATTTTTACATAAATATATATAAAATATATATACGTATTTTAGTTGTGTGTGGGTGGTGGTGGGGGAGGAAATCTGTGGACCAAATATAGGTAATTGTCAGTAAGACCACAGCCTCTCCTTAAATAGGAATATTTGTTTCTCAGAAACTTCCTCTTGACCTTCAGTGTGAATTACAAGAAAATATGTGAATATGGTTGCTAAACTCAGAACTGCAATACATTTGCACTTTAGCTGGTAAAATACAACGGAGGTGCCATTGTATTCTATTACTGGTGAATGGAATAGAAATAGCACAGGAGATATCCTGGAGGTTTTACATCAAGTCATTTCTAGCCATCTGTGGGTAGAAGTGGCACAAGCTTTTCAAAACACACAGCCCTTAAATGAGAAATTCTAAATCCTGATGGCAAAACGCTATGGAAGATAAATGTTAGATTCAAGGGTGTGTTTTCTGTTTGGCTGGTTACTGTTCATTGCTGGATTTGTTTGTCCCAGAGGGGCATAGGGGTACAGTTTAGTACTTTGCTTGGAACATACCTTACCCGCAGAATCACTCATGCCTGCATGGTAACAACTGGTGTGGCTAATGGCTTATTTATGTATTATCCTCCTGTCTGTTCTATTGCAGAAGCTCTTTAGTGCAGATAGGCTTTTCATTGGCTATGCTGATCTTTCTTTCAGGCACAGACTCATCAAGAGCCCAGAAAATGTTTTGAGGAGGAGAATTTTCCCTCTTGTTCTCCTTTGTACTTAACTTTCCTGAAACAGTGAGATATGTGATGTCTTTACGGAATTTACTCCTAACTTTGCATGGTCTACCAGGCAGAATTGTCTCTGTCTCACGTAAACGAGACTAACCACATTAATTTCAGCTCAGGTAAAGAATTCCTGTTCGGAGTGATTTGCAGAATGCCTTTGTTAGCTAAAGGAGCCTTCAGCATGCAGTGAAGTAATAGTTTGTAGGGATAGATCTAGAAATTGGTGTTTATGAATAGAAGTTTTGTTAAGGATTATAACGCTGTTATATACTCTATGACATGTCAATATAATGCACTGGGTGTTTTTCTTTGGTTTTTTTCCTTCTTCCCACACAGAGTGTGTAGTGGCATGTCACAAGTTTGTCGAAGTCAATGCCCTGGGTCTAACAGTAGCTGCCCTTAGCAGCTATGATTCCAACATGAGAGCAGCCGCGTATTTTGTCCTGGCTTCCTTTCGTTCTCATCTGGAAGGAGCTCGCTTTCGAGAGAAGAGCCAGGTAAGACTAAGCTCAGTTGGTAGTTTGCCAGGTTAGACATTTTAGGTCATGGTCACTTATGGGAGAGTCGCTGCTTTACTCATCCATCTACATGCACACGGTGAGAGAGCCTAAAGAAGCTTTTTATCCTTTATTCCATTGTTTCTCTTCTATCGCTTTGTGTTTCCTCCTGTTATAATCACTGGGCAGAAAAAGGGGGGAAAAATGTGTTTTAGAAATTCTTAGGAATTTTATTTGTAGGAATGGAAATCCTGATGGGATTGGTATTTGATTTATGGCCTATGAAACATCCTAAAAGCTTATTTATGTATTCACGTTTTCCTGTTGTATTTGTTTGGGTTATGGTTCAAGCTTTTCTTCCCGGGTTCTTGTGCTGCAGTTGCTGTATCTCTTGGATGCTGTGCAAAATGGAATCAGGCAGCCGAACCTCAGATTTACCTTCTCTTTGACCCTCTACATTGCTCGTGTGGCACAGCAGATTCTGAAGCCAGGTATTGTAACCTGCTGTGCATGTTGAACTCCGGGGGTGAGTCACTGTGCATGGAGTAATGTCCTTGACCGATACTGGAAGATGAGGTAGCTGTGACACTGGTAGAAGCCATGAAGTATGCTTTCTGGTGTTTCAAAGAAAAACTTTCAATGCTTGTGTAGACTGCCTTACTGGAGAAGTGGGAAGTGCCATTTTGAGTTGTGTACAAAACCAGTCTGATCCATCAGGGATGAAGCCACTACCTCCTCGTAATTTTGGGGTGGAAGTGGGCAGAGGACTACATGAGTGAAACTAGATGAATGCATGGGTCCTGTTCAGCATATCGGAGGAGGTTGGCCCGAGCATTCTTTTGTCCTTAGACAATGAATCAACATAAGTTACTGTTGCAAAGGAGAATCATAGCATCGGGGAGTAGTTCGGTTTGGAAGGGACCTAGTGAGGTCTCTATCTAAACCCTCTGCCCAAAGCAGGGCCAGCTACGAGGGCAGACCACTTTGTGCAGGGCTTTATCCTAGAAAACCTCCAGACCTCTAGACTGATCCTAGAAAGCCTCTAAGGGTGGAGACTGTATAGTCCCTCTGGGCAACTTCTTCCACTGCTCATGGGGGACATGTCTGGACTGTAGGTTAAAAATTATGATTGCTTAACGTGAAGTGTTAGGCTTGAAACGTGGAGAGATTTGCCTCTCACTTTGCCACAGATTTCTGTTTTGTCAATGAAGTAACGTTGGATTTGCTGAAATCGGAGCCATGTTGAATGTTTATCTTCTCACCTGCTTTGTGCACACTCTGAATGAGCTTTTCATTTTGGGGAAGAGAAGAGGAGGGATGGCCAACAATATAATCAGCCTTAGAGCAGAAGGCCTCCTCACTGTAGTTAATGTAATTCTGACAGCTAGCTGAAACACTGGAAAATACAGTTTCCATTTATTTTTCTGCATGGTTGTGTATTGTGAATGTTGTCTTTCTCCACAATAACCATTGTTTCTCTTCACAGAGGAGCACATGTATATAAAGGTAAACAGATTCCTTCTGTCACACCAGTATTTGGACCTGAGGAAAGTACCAGGGTTTTTCCAGCTTTTCTACAGTTTTGATTTCGAGGTAATGTAAGAATCCCATCTTAGGTGTCTACTAGTTCTTCAGAAAATAACAGAAAAAAGCCATCAAAATGCAATGAAATCTTACTCTTCCATAGGTAATTAATTAGAGTAATCTTTGTTTTCTTTTATATTGGAATTAGAAGTATTATTTCTGGGTTTCTTTGTTGTTTTCTTAATAGTAACACATAATGAAATCATGAGTTGTGCTGTGCGTGCTCTGTAAGCACAACAAACAGAATGTTCTGCCCTAGCTAGCTTACACTCATATTTGAGTTTAGATTATTAATGTTGAGTTCAACTGAGGTATTTTAGAAACAGCAACTTTTAAAGTTCCATTATCACTGCCTATTTGGGCTGCAGAGTAACTGTTCCTGATGGATGTTATTGATTAAATTTGATAGGGATGAAAATTGAGAAGTCCAGAAAAAGCTGTTAAGCACTGTGCTGGCACTCCCAGGGAACCAGGTTTTTTGTGCTCTTATGAGCAGGCGTTATTTTGAAATGTCTGATCGTGGTATTTTTCTTATGGCTTCTAGTACAAAACAGAACGTGAGTGGATTCTCAGATTTCTTGGAGAAGGGCTACGTGATAAACATTGCTATGAGCTTTATGACTACCAGAGGATTTTCCAGGTCATTCTTTCCTTTTTCAACAGTCCTTTGTGTGATGAGGGCTCCCAGGTAAGAATTTAGGAAAAAAAAAGCCAAACACCACAAAAAACCCCAAAACCACAAAAGTTTGCATGGTTTGGAGATCTTAAACAAATACAAAGCAGAAAAGAGCAGTTGACTCTTCCCTTGCCCTCTTGAAAATCTGTTCCTTGTTGATTTTGTGTATGTATGGAGGGGGAAATAATTGCTTATGTCTACACCAGAGTCACATCCTTGTGCCCTGAAATTGGAACAGGTCTCTGCCATCATGGAACCTCACTCAGTTTCATCAACTGGTGGTCTGGCTCTAGTCATATTTCTACTGCTTTGTGGAAAATATTGCAGATACCGCAGTTTTGCTCATACGGTCAGGGTCTTTGCTTTTTTAGGTCTCCTTATTCCCTAACCAGCATGTTACCCGTACAGTGCTTTAGCAGGAAGAGAACTCACATGCCAGAAGCTCTCATGTTCATAAGCATCCACCCTGAGAAATCCAGTCTGTTAAAAGTATCTCAGTTAGGTATCAAAATCTTGGACAAAAAGAGAATATTGTCTTGCCACCTTAAGACTTCCTTTTAAGAGTATCATTTGCGTGTATGAAGCCTTGAAAAGAGAATGTCTTTTCTTCCCTGGGGTTGCTAAGAATGTGGTGTTTGGTAATACATTTTAACTTTAAGTTGATCAGATCCCAGATCCCAGTCAGACTGCTAATTATATCCTTCTGAAAGATTGATTATAATTAGATCCTGACTATATCATAGTTTTATAAAAGAACAAATTATATTTTCTGTTTCAGAGTCGTATTCTGGAGATACTACAAAATGCTGCCCATGTCACCAGAGCTGCCTATGAGCTGATACAAGATCACAGCCTCTTAACCTGGATACTGCACATCTTAGAGAAAAGGTAACTAGGGAAATACTACTGAAATGGGAACAATTTTACTGCCCACAGTAGAATAATTATGCAACTGAGTATGAAAACAAGGGTGACAGAGGTGGCGGGTCAGCAGTTGTGACATTTGGCACCTAGGGCCATACTGGCAGAACTTGCTGAACTCTGAAGCGTTCCCTTGTATTTTTAAAAACAAAATCAAGATGCTTTTGGGTTGTAGTAGGAGGGATGATGGTAGGGGGGCTTCATGTTTTTGATAACGCTTTCTTGAAAAACTTAGAAAACAAAATGGCTCCTTATTTTAGCGTATGTGACTCTTTCGTTTCAAATACCCACAAGTCATATCCTGTCATAGGACCTCCTACACAGTAATTGGCACAATAATTAATTTGAGCTGTCTATAACATTTCTCCTCCCACTCCTTCCTCCTCCCCTTGCCTCTCCCTCATATACATGTACACGTGTACACACACACACACGCGTGCGCGCATGCACATACACAAAATCTCTTTTGCATAGGTTCCCTTGGCAGGTTCAAGCGAGGCTTCAGGACCATCTACAGTGTGATTGGCCTGAACAGGTTCTCAGTAATGCTCCCCTGTTGTACAACTCTCTTTGGTACAATTTGGTACATTTGGAAGTGAAAAAGCCTGGATTTGGCCTCTGGCATCAAATACTTATTTTGTGATTGTACTTTTGAGAAGTATTCTTCTTTCATCCTCTGTACGAAAATGAGATTGCTCCCTCCCCTGCCCTTAGAATAACAAAGTAAATATGGCTCCTGATATTGTGCTGTAAGCATTGCCGTTATTAAAGTCTTAGGAACGTAAGGAACCAAACTGTCTTGAACAGTAACTGCTCTAAAGAAATGGTGGCAATGGTTGCAATGTAATGGAATACTTGGCAGAGCTGCGTAATGAAAGATGCAAGTCGGAAATCAGTAGACTCATGCAGGGGCCATGATCACAGAATCATAGAATCATAGAATAGTTTGGGTTGGAAGGGACCTTTAAAGGTCATCTAGTCCAACCCCCCTGCCATGGGCAGGGACATCTTCAACTAGATCAGGTTGCTCAGAGCCCCGTCCAGCCTGACCTTGAATGTTCCCAGGGATGGGGCATCTACCACCTCTCTGGGCAACCTGTTCCAGTGTTTCACCACCCTCATTGTGAAAAATTTCTTCCTTATATCTACTCTAAATCTACCCTCTTTTAGTTTAAAACCATTGCCCCTTGTCCTATCGCAACAGGCCCTGCTGAAAAGTTTGTCCTCATCTTTTTTATAAGCCCCCTTTAAGTACTGAAAGGCTGCAATAAGGTCTACCCAGAGTTTTCTCTTCTCCAGGCTGAACAACCCAACTCTCTCAGCCTTTCTTCATAGGAGAGGCGTTCCATCCCCCTAATCATTTTCGTGGCCCTCCTCTGGACCTGCTCCAACAGATCCATGTCTTTCCTGTGCTGAGGGCTCCAGAACTGGACACAGTACTCCAGGTGGGGTCTCACCAGAGCAGAGCAGAGTGGCAGAATCACCTCCCTCGACCTGCTGGCCACGCTTCTTTGGATGCAGCCTAGGATACGGTTGGCCTTCTGGGCTGTGAGCGCACATTGCCGGCTCATGCCCAGCTTTTTGTCCACGAGTATCCCCAAGTCCTTCTTGGCAGGACT